ACCGCCCCCCGCACCCGCAACGCGCCGGCCCCGGTGCACTGCCCCCCGCACCGCCCACCTCGCACCGGCCCGGCCCCGCACAGACCCCTGCCCCTCCTTCCCCATCCCGCAGAGGGGCTCCAGCTCCCGCGGAACCGGCCAGGAGGGGCCAGGGGTGAGAGGAGGTTGGGTGCCTCCACTCCTTCCTACTGTGTTGTTATTTTGTTTTATTTTATTATTCATTTCCTCCTCCTGGGTATTCCGTGGGGTCATGGGAACCAGCGTTAAAGGGGTTAAAGTTGGTGGGTTTAGGGGTGGTGAGGGACTGGCACATTCTCATCCCACCCCACCTTCCACCAGCCCAGGCGGCTCCAAGCCCCTTCCAGCCTGGCCTTGGACACTTCCAGGGATCCAGGGGCAGCCACAGCTTCTCTGCCCAACCTGTGCCAGGGCCTGCCCACCCTCCCAGCCAGCAATTCCTTCCCAATATCCCATCTATCTAAGAAGTCCATGAAAATGATGTGGTGGAAAAGTCCCACCTGGTGGATATTTGCAAACCAAAGCGGAACAGAAGCAGCTCCAGGAATGTCTCAACCCTGTGCTTGGCAGTCGAGTGCCAGTGGGACACTGGGGCAGTCCTTGTATCCATCACTCAAAAGGGAAGGGCATGAGCAGGATTTTGGAGAGCAGCCCAAGGAAGATGAGAACAAGGAAACAGCAGCAAGATCCTTCCGTGCAGCACAGCCACAAAGCTCAGGCCTGGCTGGGACTGGTGGGCAGTGGAAAAATGTTTGTTACTTTTCCCACCCAATTAAAAGAAATTCCACGTGGAATTCACCTCAAACTCCGGCTAAGCAGTGCCAGAACCCTCTTGTCTCACAGGCCATCTATCCTCCCCAGCTTCCACTCTCCTTTTTCTTCCCACTCTTTCTCCTTCCTCCATCCCTCTGCATTTCCCAGAGGTCTCTCTTGCCTCTTTCCCATCTCCAGGCTGCGATTGGGCAAAGAATCCACGTTATTAATCTCATTGTGGTTGCAGAGCGACAACAGTGCAAGGGGAGCCGTTCCCTGCTAATTACTGACATTAAAATCAACACTGTAATTGCTTTTGGGGAGACAAGAGCATTCCCAGTGTCCATGTTCTGCAGTGAGGTGAGGTGAGGGAATAATGTGAGTGGAAAGGGAAATGATGGACACGAGGAAATGTCCTTTGTCACGGGAAGGCTCTTGGTGACAAGAACACGCTGCCCCAAAAGGCCCTGGGGGAGTTCTGCCCCCCCAGCCAGGAGCCTCGGAGTGATGGAAGTCCCTGCTCATCTCATGACTCCGTAGCCACAGGACAAAGTGGGGACACCCAGGGATTCACTGTGCCTTCACCTCCAACTCCTTCTGATGACCCTGATGCTGTTCCTTCGTGCTGCTTCTCAGCCAGCCCAGCTCTCACCAAAGACAGAGTGAGGAAGGAAGAGCCCAGAACATTCTTTCCCCACCCAAACCACGAGCTGACTGATTTTCCTCAGGAATTAATTGTGCCATTGACTCCAGGAGCCCTTTCCCTGGGGTGGGAGGAGGGGACAGTGCCCAGCAGCGCAAGGAGGGACTGATTTGGATGCAAAGCCACTCAGGGAATCCCTGTGGGGATTTCCAATTCAGATGCACATGGAGATGCTGAATGTTCCTGGGATGCAGAACAGAAAATTCCACTGTGAATCATCAAATTAGTTCAGGAGCAAATGGACCCCAAGGCAGACATGGGGGCTGAGGAACCACCTTCTGCATCCTGAGCAGCTCCCTGTGGACACCTCAGGGTGACCAGGGATGGGCTGGGCTCAGGTGGGACATCAGCAGGAATTTCTCCTGGAAAGGGTGGTCAGGCACTGGCACAGCTGCCCAGGGAGGTTTGGAGTGCCCAGCCCTGGAGGTGTCCAAGGCAGGCCTGGCCGTGGCACTCAGTGCTCTGGGCTGGGGGACAAGGTGGGGATGGGGCACAGGGGGATCCATGGGCTGGGAGGGCTTTTCCAGCCTCAGGGATTCTGGGATTCTGATATCCCCCCGTCCTGTGGCCCTGGCTCTGGCAGGGAGCAGCAATGGTTGTGTCAGAGGCCAGCAGGAATTCCACAGCCATGGAAGGCAAACCCTCCTGGCTGGAAAAGGGATAATGCAGGAGCAGCAGAGCTGGGGCAGCCTTTGCTGCAGCCCCTGGAGGACCATCAAATCATGGAATCATTCGGGTTGGAAAAGTTCCCCCAAGACCATCGAGTCCAACCATCCCCCAGCACTGCCAAGGCCACCACTTACCTTGTCCCCAAGGGCCAGAGGTGTCCCCCAGCTCTCCCAGCCAGCCCTCAGCGTGGCCCACGTTGATGTGTCATAGTCCAGTACTGCCTCTTACCCACTTTTAATATGAAAAATACCCCAAACCCTTGCCTTGGCCAATATGGTAAAAATATCACTCAAAATACAGTCTTGGTCAAAGATTCTCCAGGTGAACCCCCCCAGCTGTCCCAGCCTGGCTCCAGAGCAGAGGAATCCAGCCCTGGAGCATCTCCATGGCCTCCTCTGGACTCTTTCCAGCAGCTCCACGTCCTTCCTGTGCTTTTGAGCTCACAAATCCAAACCTCCAGGATGGGCCTGACTTCTCTCCTGAACGTTCCAGGTGAGGTTTCCCACCCAGCACACAGAGGTTCGTGTTTCCTTCCATTCAAACTCCCCTGGGCAATTGTTACCCCTGGAGATACTTTGTCTGTTTCCATTCATCCCCCTGCAATTCCCTAATTTCAGCACCTGGAAGCTTTTCCAGGCTTCTTCTGATCCAGTCAGTGAGAGGAAGCAGGAGGAGCTGATGAGAAATAAAATGATCAAGCTGATTATTTACGACCTGAGTTAACACAGACAGTCCCCAGACATGTGTCACCCAGTCCCACCGCTTCGAGGCTGCCTGGATGGGGATTTTAGGGCAGATCCTGCCGTTTTCCTGTGCAAAAACTTCCCAGTTTGAAACAGGAGTTGGAGTCAGGATTTTCCTGACCTCCAGTGATGCCCCACGGAGCTTATCCAGGGGCTGGCTCCCTAAAACCCTTAAACAGACCTCAAAATCAGCCACAAACCCAGTTTTTAAGGGAAATGAGATGTGGGTCGTTTCCCTTCTGTAATTTAACTCTGCCCTCAGTCCTAATTAGAAACATTTCTGAGAAACCCCCCAAAAAAGGAAAATATCTCTGTGTCTGCATTCATCACTCATAAATGGATTATTTTAAGATCCATGTAAATGATTCTCATCCATAATTAACCCCAGCTTGGCAGTTAATTGCACCTTTGCAAACCATTTTAATGATCAGTGCAGGGAGCTGAGAGTTGTGATGTGAGCTGGTGTTTGGGATCAACACACCCACACCTGCCTCTGCAAAGAGAACCTGAAACACAGAAATCTCGATAAAAAGGAGTTAATTTGGGGGTTTCCTCTGTGCTTTTATGAGCAAGGATGCTCCTCTGGATGGGGGAAATCTTATTAAATGAGGGATTAATTAGTCCTTTTTTGATTGAGTTGATCAAAGTGCACTGTAGCAGTGGAGGAGGAGGAATTATAGAACTACATGTAAATACATAAGCTATATATATAAAGTTATAAAATTATATTTATCAAACTATAAAACTCAAAAAATTGTTATTACAAATCCTTATCATCTTTATAATTTACATATATATGTAAATATATGTTACATATATAATTACCTATATGTGTATATATAATTATATATATAATTTCTTATAAATATCATTTTTATAGACAGATAAAGGGCACATCATTTTCTCCCTCTTACAACACTTACCACTGTCACATTTTGTAATTGGAAATCCTGAAAAGGCTTAATTTTGTCCAGCAATTAACAGTAAAATCTGAAATAATCTGCTCTTACATATTAATATTTGTGCTAAAGGGTCTCAGAAATCACTTCCACTACAGCGAAGACATGAACTGGTCTCTCCCTCTTGGTCTCCTGAGGATG